AGGGTTGACTGATCTGTACTAATAATGAAAGTGATCTAAGAATAAGTCTTTTTTTTCCCTAAGAACATCTACGATAAAATATTTATAAACATTTGTTAATAAAATGATTTGACATTGGGATGTGCTTCAAAATAATCCACTGCTGGAGGAGGGAAATTGGCAGGAGTAGTGATGATGGAGGATTGGCTATGGAGACAGCGTGTCAATCTATTCTTTCTATTTTTGTGTATGTTTAGAATTTTCCATAAGACAAACTTTAAAAAGAATTCCCTTTTCAACAAATGACTCTCTGGAATAAAAATATCATATTGTAAAATTTTGTTTATGTAATACTCTGTCTTCCAAACTCCTATTTGAAATGTTTATGTAATCAAATAAAATATTTGAAATTAATAGCAATTTCCATTTGGCTTAAGTGATTCTTATGAAGTAGAAATGCCAGAAGGGCTAGACCTCTCAAATATATTTATATGTCAAACTGCTTTTTTTTCTTTTTTGGTTGATTTTTTTTTTAAACAAACAACTGTTTAATAATCACCTTCTATATGCAAAGAAATATTGTACATTGTAGTTTTCTTGCTGACATCATTTTAAAGTACACACAAGTATTTATAATTGTAAACAAACAACTGTTTAATAATCACCTTCTATATGCAAAGAAAGATTGTACATTGTAGTTTTCTTGCTGACATCATTTTAAAGTACACACAAGTATTTATAATTGTATATGCTAAGGATGCACAGTATCAGAAAATAATAAAACTGAATGCTTTTTTTTAAATCTGTGAATCAGGCGTCTCCTTAGTTCATCCTGGCTCTCTTCCACATTCCTCTCCAGATTTCTGAGTACCTGCATTTTTTTCAACACCTGAGCATCCTGATCTTTTTCAGTGAATGGAGAACAATGCATTCAAGTTATTTCACGTTATTCCGGATAAACAACCAGACACCAAGATGCCGTTCAGAGCAACGGAGCACCCTAGTGGCCAGATCAAGCTGATCCTTCTCCTCGGTCACCATTTGAATTAGGTCTTATATTTTTTTGAAAAAAAGTCACCAGAAATAATTAGCATAACAATATTAGTGATATTATAACATTAAATGAAAGAAAATGTTGTGAACTAATGGGATCTTTATACCTAGGAAGGCATAGACAATTCAACATTTAGTCAGTCTTAATTTTAAGAGCCAAGGGACCCAAGTACTGTATTCCAGAAATGGTATATATACCCATAACCTGTAAAGTACATGTTTGGTGTTCTTGAGTTTATGAAAACGTTTTCTCCATCCAACCTGTATGACTCTTACTGGTTGCACCTCATTGAGCAAATATGAATTTTTAGAACCGTTTTCCTTTATCTTTTTTCTGCCCTTGCTGTCCTAGGCAGCATTGTGCAGGTAGTCAAGAGGATAACCTCTAGAGACAGAAATACTGACTCAAATCATGCTCTGTCTCTCATCAGCAGAGTAACCTTGAACAAGCTGATTATGCTCTGTGCCTCAGTCTCCCCCCTTGTAAAATGGGAATAATAGTAGCAGACATCTTATAGCCTAGTTATTAAAATAACATCTGGGACACAGGAAGTATTACAATTACTTGCTGCTAATATATTTCTCACACTTCAGTCACATCTGTCATCTGCACAATTGTATTTTTTCTGTATGTGTGTCCTGAACTCTTCAAATTTGCTTGACTTTTTTGCTTCATATTTGCTTGGATATGCCTAAAATTGCATATCCAAGAGTCTATATAGACTCAGTGTTTTCAGGAACACAATATCTGTAAAATCCTCCACATAAGTCTATGGAATAGTAAGGCAATATAATTACACTCAAAAGCACCTCACTTCTTGTAATCAACTCACTGTACATTACAGTACATTATAGTTTAACTGGAAATACCTGCAGCATGAAGTTAATGGGCAGTTGAATCTCCTCAAGGTCACTGTTCCAAAGAGGTGAGGGGAACACTTTGAACTCTTCTGCAAACACATAAGTCTATGGAATAGTAAGGCAATATAATTGCACTCAAAAGCACCTCACTTCTTGTAATCAACTCACTGTACATTACAGTACATTATAGTTTAACTGGAAATACCAGCAGCATGAAGTTAATGGGCAGCTGAATCTCCTCAAGGTCACTGTTCCAAAGAGGTGAGGGGAACACTTTGAACTCTTCTGCAAAATTTGCAGAACAATTTCCCTATGTCACAACTGTGTAAGAAATGAACTGTAATTAACTTAGGTGGCTTGACTTGAATTAGTCACACTTTGGATTATTTGGTAAGAAAGCTATTTTAGGCGAAAATAAAAGTGTTTTTAAATAAAAAGAGGGTAAGTTGAAGATTTAAAACTTTAAAGGATAGAAATCCCAAGACTACAGTAAATCATGAATCACAGCCATTCAATTCATTCAGAAGAAAATGGATTACTGACCTCAGGATCAAATTGTATAAACCTTAAAAATCACAAGCAGCTCCAATGCTTAGCAATAGCATGAAAATTCCTCCCTTCCATATCTTATCTTTAACCCCTTTTATATTCTGAGAGAATAACCTGTCCTATCCTATGAGAACATGTCATGCAAACTTGTCCTATCCTATGAGAACATGTCATGCATACTTTTTAATGCAGGCAATATTTATTTCCCTCATCACAGACCATAAAGAATTACGTAGTTCTCAGTGTGTAGTTGGAACTCTTGTAATGTGGTGTGTGGGGATGACCCAGTCTCATCTTTTTGAGTTTTCTGTTATTACAGCTACTGTGTTAGTGGCAGAAGTTGCCAATTCATGTATTTATGAGAAAGTCATAGTAGCTCAAGCCAATGTTTTCAAATTAAAAAGTCTTTTGTAAAAGCCCACGAAAGGAAAATAGATGTCTTATAATTTTAGGATTGAACTAACAATGTTGTACTTGAGGTTTTGATATGTGTTCCCAAACATTGGTTAATGCCACCGTAGGGAAATGTAATTAGCAAACTGACACACCATGCTTTAAGGGCTCACTATAATTCTCTGTGTCTTCTGAGTCTTAGACTTAGGGATTTCTAAATGATGAGGTTTGTATGGAAATTCATTAACTTCACTTCCCTGAATAGAGTTAAAAAGAATTCACTCCATTCTGATCTATAGTAAAACGAGGTTTATGAGGTTTTAATAAACTTTTAGTTCTAAAAGCAAATATTAATTTGTTATTTAATGATTTTTGTTTTAGATTCCATTTTGTTCCTTGGAATGAAACATGACTTGTGAAATTCAAATGTTCCACTACTTACAAGCACAATTTCATTTATTAATGGCCTACAATTAAGAAGAAACTGTTAGCTAAACAAACAATTAGCTTATTTGTCTGAAGGATTAATGGGGGAGTAGCCTATTCATTCATTTGCTAAGGGTCTTAGTCTTGACCTACTTTTCACTTGTTCAGATCGCTTTCTAAATTTTCTAGTTGTTGTACCTAATTTTCCTAATCAAATGATAAAGCTAACATATTTATGTAGTTTGTTTTGGAGAAGGAGCCGGTTAATTCATGCATAAATAAAATGTTATGCCATAGGTCAAAATCTTATTTCCAATCCTTCCACTTTACTCTAAGGAAGACATTTAACTTCCCCACCTTTCAGTTTCCCACCTATAAAGTGAGAGTGTTAATAGTTGCCGTCTGTTTCGGTGGGGAGTAGGGGTCCTAATGGCACCATGACCGAAGGGATGTGTTATAATTTTCCTTAAAGAGAAGATGCTTTGCATTAATGCACTTGTGCTCCCAAATACAGAACATCGGTAAAATATATTGGTTTTGTATAAACGTCTTAGAATTGTTTTTTGGAAAATGACCACATTCTCTGTGATTATTAAGGGAATCTCGGCAAAAACAGCACATTTGGCACACAGGCAACCTCATCTGAGTGAAGTGGCATGTAGCTAGCTAACTACAGAGATTAGCAAAAAATTCATAATGAGAATGTTTTTGCTTGCTAAATTCTGCTTCTATAGGCACACACACACAAAAATACTTTTTAATGCAGGCAATAGCCTCTGGCTGCAACAGCCTAGCATTGAGTTCACGCGAGTGAACTGCCAACTACAAACTGTGCCTTAGGCGAGTTGCTCAATGATAAAGCAGAGATAAAAGAAGGGAGCTACAATTTTCCTTGGGTAGCATGTGAACAGAAGAAAAAACAATGCATTTAAAACAACGTAAAGGCCAATGTTATTAAGTGTAAAGTAGTAACTGAATAGATGATCATCCCAGACACTGAGCATGCAATGGACTGCAGGACAGAAGGCCATTCCGGGGTTAATGGTGGACTGTAAATCAAATGGATATCAGCAATATGAAGTTACAAAATATACCATTTTCATGTTATGTGGAAGTATTTGTAGGAAAAAAATATATAAGCAGCTAAAATTTAACCTTGGTTTGTCTAAAATTTAAGTTATAATTTATTAAATCCAGTTTTAGTGGTATGTATTTCTATATCACGAGTCTTTAATGTCTCATTCTGCAAAATGGAAATATTAATTCCTACCTACTTGGCTATATTGGCTGTACAAGTTTTTTTTTTTTTTTTTTTTTTTTTTTACATTGATAGCTGCTCTGAATGATCAGTACAACCACCTTAAACTTTATATGTGAACTTTTAGAAAACTAGAGGTGGAAAGGGGGAGGGGAGGGAGAGAGGGAAGGGGGCTAATGAAGAATTGGTCAACAGACACAAAGGATTGTGTATTGTAATGATGAGTAAACAACTATACTGATCTAATCACCGCACATTCTACACAATTATTGAAAATCAACGTTGTACCCCACATGTATGTATAATAAAAAATATATATATATATATATAATACATATGTATACTCACATATATACACATATACCAGGATGCTTCCAAAAGCTCATGATAAGATCGGTATTCTCTTTCTATTCTGTTGTCCCACGAGCTTCCGGACGTCCCCTCGCACCCGCAGAAGGGGACACGTGTCTGTCCTGCTTACCTTCAGCTTCCCTTATCTTCCTTCCCGCTGCAGACTTCCGCAGCACGCTCCTTCCAGAACTGAAGAGGCTGGCCAGCTCATCCAGAGGGCTGCTGAGAGGCCTGGAGCTGGCAAGGCTGCAGGGGGCTGGGCAGGGGGGGTTGCAGTGGGCCTTCCTGGGGTCAGCTCTCGCTGCCTTCACCGGGGAGTAAGGGATCTTGGAGAAAGAGCTGCAGGGACCAGCCCCCGGGGCAGAGGGTGGCTTATGGTGCACTTTGGACAGATCTGAACTCGCCCCTGCTTGGCCCGCACTGCCCGGGACGGACTCCGGCGGGAAGGCGAAGTGCGTGGACGGCCGGGGGCCGGCGGGGGCAGCCCCGGGGGGCGGAGCGGGTGTGGGAGGCGGAGAGACCTTGCTGCACCCATCGAACAGAGTCAAGGCGGGGGACGCGGGCCTGTCGCCGTCGCCCTTTTGGTTTTCGGAACACTGCGGGGACAGTGGACTCGAACCTTCTGCCTGGACGGGGTACCTGAGGTTGGTTTCCAGCACGGGCAGTTTCTTCACTTCCAGCGGGGTTAAGGGGGACTCGTCAGAGGCCGGGGAGCAGGTCACCGGCGTGGGAGGGAACACCAGAAGCGGGGGCCGGTGGGGGAGCAGGTTGGGGAATGGCGGCGGGATGTCGCAGGCGTCTTTGCAGGGCCCCGCTGCTCGGTCGCCGTCCTCCAAGGCGATGGGTTTCCGACTGTCGAAGAACAGGGGGGGCGACGCGGACGTGAAGGAGACCACCCCCAGGCCGCCACTGTCGTCGGGCGGGAAGTACTTCATCTCCTCGTACACCGACTCCCCCGGGTCGGGGCTGTCGCCGGGCCCCCCGGCATTCCCCACCATCTCGATGTACACCGGCTCGGGGTCGTCGTCGTCCCCGGGGGCCGAGGGCAGGTGCAGGGCGCCCTGTGGGGGCCCGTCGGCCGAGCAGACCCTCTGCCCGCAGCCCGGGTCCCGGGGCGCGCCCGGGGGCCTCGCCTCCCCAGGCCGGGGGGCCGAGATCTCCTCGTAGGAGCCGCTGAGCTTCGTGTTGGGGCTTCTCTTGGGCTTTCGGGGAGGGATCTTCTTCATGGTGCTGTAGTCGTCGCTGTGCGGCCTGGGCCGGGTCAGAGCTGGAGGACGGAAAGAGCAGTGAGGGGTGCTGCTGGGGTCCCCCATCAGCTCATCGCCGGGGCGGGTGGGGCTCGCTGTCCCCGGCTGGCCCCGGTGGCCACAGCTCTTCTGCATTCTGAGCAGGAGGGGACCCAGGGCCGACTTCCCTCGCCCTCTAGCATCCCTGGCTGAACCAAACTGCCCCAAACTACCAGAGAAAAGTGATGTTCGATCTTGGGGCTGGAGGACATCTTCCACCCATTGAGGAAGAAGACGCCAAGTGGAAGGTGCAGGAGTCCCAGGGATAGCAGCCACCTGCAAAGGTGAGGTGCCTGGTGATGGAGTGGGGAAGGCACACACGGGATCAGCGGGTAGAACAATCTACGTCTGTATCTTAGGACCCAAGACACATGCGCAATAAGTACTGGGTGAACAGGTTCTAACAATTTTAGAGATGAGAAGCCCAGGAGGGAAAGCAAAGTAGCTAGTTGGTGGCAGATGGAAGCTTCTGCAGGAAATCAGTAAGTGTGATTATTTAAATGATATAAAATGGGCAAAACGAAACCACAACAAAACACCTATAAGGATGAAGAGAAGGAGGAGGAGGGGGAGGGGAAGGGAGGGGAGG